AACCCTTGGTTCATTATAAAAAAAGATGATTCCTATGAAGCATGCTAATCCAGCTCCTATTAGCCAATGGTGCCATTCCGGCTCTTTTACCTGCTCCCTGTAACTTTCTGTTCTTTTGCAGTGATGGTCAATAAGGATTGGGCAAACCATACCTCTGCTAAAGATGTGCTTGCAAAATCAGAGATGATGTCCAAAAACACTGTTAGACAATCACAGCCCAAATTGCTTAAAAAGATCTTTCACCTATTTTGGCAAAATTCACATACTTATTTGCCAATTTCAGTTTGTATTATTTCCAAGGAGCACTCCTTTTACACAAGTCACTACTTTCTTTTTCTTTGATATCCTATTCTTTTTTTTTTTATGACAAGGGAAACCCGCTGCCGCTACCCATTTGGGTGCGCACAAGGTAAAACCCCCATTCCTATGCAATAGCTCGCAAACCACATAGGAGAGGTAACCCGCACTAGGCAAGCCTGGTGCGACGAGCTCGACCTAGAAGGCAAACCCCTTGCTTTCGCTGGCAAGGGGTTTCGAACTTGAGACCTCCAACATGGAAGTCCCAAGCTCAAACCACTGGGCCACCCCGAAGGGTTTGATATCCTATTCTTCATAAGGTCATATCTCTGTAAAGTCTTTGTGAACACGACGAAGTTGTGTGAGAAAGGATCATTTTCGTGTAAGTTGTTATTTGACTGTGCTTTCTTATGGGAAGGCAAATATAATGTGCCACTCTCACAAGGCAGCAATTTGCCTGTGTAAATAGCTCCTCTGCTAATTCATTTGTTGCCAATTTGAAGATTAAAAACATGATTCAATGTCTGAGAATTAAGATATTTTTGCTTGATTTGTACAATCCATCTGTTTGATGGTTGACGTATTTTTCACTTCTACTGGCAATAATCAGGTGGTATACATGGCTATTGTTGGATCATTTCCATTCAACTCTTTTCTCTCTGGGGTGCTTTCCTGTATTGGCACAGCAGTCCTTGCTGGTGAGCCAAGTGGTCTATTTAGATACACTCCATTTTGGGAAAATGTTAATTTTGACTGATTCATTAATACCTTTCTCACAGTTTGTCTTCGGATCCAAGTAAACAAAGAAAACAAGGAATTCAAGGTTAGCTTTCTTGGGATATGATCTTCCAATTTACAGTTTTACCTTGAATCTCCCCTCTAATTTAGTTGTGTTAAAAGATGTTGTGAAGTCATAGATTATCAATGAATGTGTAGCATGTCCTGCACTTCTAGTTATGTGGTCTCTTCATAGTAGAAGAGAAATGTAAAGAGAGTTAAACTTGAGGCAGCTGGGCTTATGTTTGTTTTTCCTTTCAAATTACTAGTGCTTACAGAGTATGTCAATGAATCTCATCACTTGATTGTTGGTTCACCATTGCAGGATTTGCCTCCAGAACGTGCTTTTGCAGATTTTGTTCTCTGCAATTTAGTGCTCCATTTGGTGATCATGAACTTTCTTGGCTAGATTGAGGCACCAAATCTCAAAAATGTCGCTCTTACAAATCTTGGTGATTTTTATGTAAGAATAATAGAGTCAATCGTAAAGGATTTTGTTAGGTCCTCAGAAATATTAAGTTTCCCATACATGAAACTATTAACATTCATGAATCTTATATGAGTATGAGTAAGTAGACAATCTTTGGCCCTTCTGAGTTCTATAGCCCAAAAAGGAGCCAAACTTTTTCGGTATCAAATTATTTTGCCTTTTTCTTTCCAAGTGGACCGAAAAGGTGACACCAGTGCCTGAACTTGTTCTAACACTTGATCATGAACTGTGTGCATATCCTAGGGCAGATTTCTCACAAATGCTCTCTAGAGAAGAGCTTTATGACCCTTTCTTTATTGGTGTTTTTACCATCACTATAATGTATGGCTGATTCAAATTGGCCCCTCGATGATATTGCTGTGCTGGCAACAACATCGTGGGTAGATAAGTGTTCAAATTTCAACAGCGACAAATGCTAGGTGTTTTCTTTTCATGTGCTTAAGCACTCCATGTCTCTTCCGCTGATTCGTCTGAGGAATTTCATTACTTCCAGCAAAAGAAAATTGACCATGGACTTTGTCTTTCTAGGACTTGTGAGTTTCCATTGACCATAGATTTTAATCATTTAATTGAATTGATTTGCCGATATCGAGAAAGACCATTGACCATAGTTTTTAATCATTTAATTGGCCAAGTCTACATAGGTTTCTTGCATTAATGATTCATAGTTTTTAATCATTTAGTTGGCCAAGTCTATGTCTAGTAATCACTGAGGTCCCTTTATAGTCTGTTAGTCTCCATTAATCATGCACAGATTTTTCTGATCCATGTTGTTCAGAAATTTCTTGACGACTTCTACTGCAGAGGCTTTCTTCGTAAAAAAGAGTTTCCGCGACTAAACCACTTATTAGGTATGCAAATGTAACTTTTCCTTCCTGCGTTTCCTCTTTAGGTTGTCATTTGTCAATTGTTATTATGGTCGTGTTGAAAACGTTTTTTCAATTTTTTCATGTCTGAATTTTTGTTTTTAACTTCTACCATTCCCCACTTGATGAGTAAATCTCATAGAAAGTGTCCGTTAAAGAATTTTTACAACAAAGTCATACAAAATTTTATCAAAAAACAAAAAAACAGTCGATAATTTTTTTATTTATTACACGTGTTAACCAATGCATGCCTCCCATAAAAACATAATCAGACAGCAAAATATCATATTGTGTCTGATTACGAGACAATTTCCGGTGGAAAGTTAAAGGACAAGTGCTTAAGAGTTTGGGATTAGCGATATAAACCAAGCAAAATTTTAGAGACTTTCTTAAAATACAAATTAACATAATCTCATTTTGTCTCCTCTCTAACACATCCTTATCTTATGGGATCTTATTTTCCTTGTTGATTTGATCGCATAATTAAGTTTTGGATAATCATTACAAATTGCAACAAACTAATCTTTAATGTATTACTTATCAAATAAATATTAGTAAAAAACAGTACATGAAATAGAAAAAAATATAGGTAATACAGCCATCAAGACCATATCAAATGCAATATTTGTCCCATGAGTTTTATGGTTTACATAGTTTTTTTTAATTGATTTAATGACTTTTTTTCTCATTAAAAAATGAAATATTCATTGAACACACATTGAAAGTGTGCTTGTTTGTATATTCTTTTTGGGTATATTCGAATTGACATTCTTTATAACTTGTCTTAGAAAAAACTTTTTTGTTTATGCTTTTAGTTAGCATTTGGATTAAGTAAGAGAAGTCTATTTCGAAAAGCAACGAGATTAAAAAAAAAAAAATCCGTGCTAAATCAAACTAGATAAATAAACTAATATGCAGAAAATGCATCAATTATAGTATAACTAATCCCAAAACTGCAATCAAACAAAAAATTTACTATAAGTATTTTATTTCAAAATTATTTTTATTCCTCAAATCAAAAGAAGTACGTGGACATCAAATTAAATGCAGAGCAACCGCTACCTCTCTGGGACAATAAATATAAAGCTTTTGTTTTGCAAATAAGGGAAAAATTGCACATAGACTAAACAAAAATTAATGCAAAACGATTGAAATGTGATGTATGACATGTAACTTCTCGTACGTCTATTCAAATTTTCAAAGGCTTATTCTCCTCTTCTCTATGTCCCACTCCATATATTATTGTGTTAAATTTTTTTTTTTAATATATTGTTTATAATTATGAGATATACCTAAAAGAATAGTTTAATGTAAGAAAGAATGTTCATATTTCATTTGCCCCCGCTAACTCATGCGCGTGGAAGAAATTAATTTAAAATGTATTCTCATCCCTCTTAACATTTTTCCTAGCGTGTGTTTGGTACGAAGAAAAATATTTATACGTTATCTAGTAAAATATTATAGAAATGAGATTGAATAAGTGGGAAGTGGAGTTCGAGGTTGGAATGGGTGAGGAGTGGAGTTTGGTGTTGGAATGGTCAAGCGATGGGGTTTGAATGGGTGAGGTTGATAGCGAATTTTTAATTTCAATTCTGAACTTATTTTTTTTCTTCCCATTTTCATTAGGAAACTTATCTTCCTCATTTCTAAAGAATTTGTTTTTTCTAAACCTTTTAACCCATGAAACATTAGAAAAATTAAAAAATATTCTTCAAAATATTTGCTACATAACAAATTCACGAAGAAATCACTTGATATGCATACTAAATTATGTTGATATTATAAATTCTGAATTAATTCATCCACAATAGGAAACGAGAAAAACAATAGTATAAATTAAATGATAAGTTCATACCATTAATCAAATACAATATAAATTTTATTTTATCCTTATTTTTAAAATACCCCCATATTATTCGACCCCTCAATGGAAACGACTGATAGCATTCTAATATTCTATCATCATTTTTTTCAAAAAATTAAATGGCCTAGAAAAGTTTTAAGAAATGTCTTCTCTCATCTGGTCGGGACGTTGTTTTTCCAAAAATAAAAATATATTGTATTTTTTTTCTTCAAAATATTCAAGTAAGAACAAAATGATTTTTTCCATGCTAAACTTACGGATAATTTGGTTGAGAACAACTTATTTTGAGATTCATTATTTTAAAAAAAAGTTAATTATTATGAGATAAATTATTTCACACATATACAATAATTTATCTCATCACTCAGATATAAATAGTGAAATAGATAATATAAAACTGCCTAATACCTCTAACTAAATATACGATAAAATAATTTTAATCTTATCTTGAAATTATTATATCTTATAACTCACCTCGAATACTTTTCTTCCGGAGAAAAGTTACTCAAAGGTTGGTCTAATAGGCTATTGCCACTATTCCAGAGGAAGGGCGTATGGTTGTTACACGTGTCCAGATAAGTCTAGCTTAGGCCTTAGTTCCACAAAAGCCAATGAAATAAATGAAAAAGTATTCTCAGATAAATAACCAAAGAAAAAAAAAACTCGAATAACTGTATCACAATTCACACACACAATTGGGCGATGGAAAGCACGTGCTCTCATTCCTGATAAAAACTCTCTCTCTCTCACAACACACGCACATATTCATTTCACTCCTCACTTTCTTTCCCGACCCTTTCTCTCTCTAAAGCTCTCCAGTCTGTGGTGATGTTGATCCTCTCAGCGGCTTCGTCTTCTTCTTCCTCCTTCATGCTTTCTTCCGCTTCGTCTTCTTCTGCACGCATTCCGAGGCCGTTATCTTCATTTTCAACTTGTGTTCCAGTAGTAGTAACAACTGTTTCTTCTGCAGCAACTTCGACGCTATTTCCGATTTCCTGCTTCGGTGTGAAATCGAGGACTGTTGGGATTCGGAAGCTGCGGTGTGCCGTTTTTTGTGCTTCGAAGGTACGTGGAATGGCAGAAATGATTGAAGATGCCATGACGGTTTCTGCTTCTGGGAGCCATGAACTTCCGCAGTCCCGAGACTTCCTTGACGCACGCACTGGAGAAGGTTTATCTCTAGCTATTATTATTTTTTCTTTAATTTGAAATATCTTGTGCATTTTGTGCTTTATATTGCTACTCTCGCTTATTTTCTTTTTGAATTTGAAGTGTCTTGTGCATTTTGTGCTATTTCAGTGTGGTTTATTTTCTCTGTACTCTTGTTCTCTGTTGGAATATCTTGTGCATTTTGTGCTATTTCGGTGGGGTTTAGCATTTTGTGCGTATTATGCCAGTGACTATTGTACACATTCACGCTACAATGTTGTTTTCTTTCGAATGCATTGAATTTCTCAATATTCTTCACAATTAACAATGCTGAACATATGAGGCGCGTTATTACATTTGCGGAAATGCATATTTATTTTTTTATTTGCCCTATGTTTGTTATTCTTAAGAAAATGTGTTGAGCCCATAGATAAATAGAACTAATATTGCATTTAGCATGGAGTTTAGTGTGAATTTTGTCAAGTAATAATTGCTTTGCCACATAAACTATTGAACTCTATGTCCAAGGTGAAATAAAACGATAGTTATCTAATGTTTGTTTACTCTTTGGTTTTTCCTAATAGTCCTATCAAATAGACTTGTAGTACAAAAGTTCCATTCTAAGAGATGAATTGGTTGGTTGCATAAGCAGTTTCAGTAGTGGTATTAATGAAATTGATGTTGGCATAAAATTGCAAAAAGAGTACTTATCTGTGCAAGCATGCTTAACAGTTTAAACACCATGTCAATGAGTTTTTTTTAACCTTGATGCACCGAGTATAGTAGGTTTTGATCTTTCTAGTAATCTGTGACGATATCTATTAGGATGGACTTACAGTAGGCTCAACGATTGTTTTATTTTTGATGGCAAACGGGATGTATTGTCTATGAAGCACATCAGTTGGGCTTTGTTGCTTCTAATTTTATAGGGACTTCTCAAACGGATAACTAGCGGAACTACACTTGGAGGAACAGTGCTACTATAATGTAACACCAGTCCATCTAGATGGAAGTGCTCGCTAACCTGTGGATGGTGAAAGACTCGACAAATTATAGTGGACGGGATGATGGGAATGATATAAATTGAAGAGTAAGACGAAATGATTAGGAGGTGGAAAATCTTGTTATGAACACCAAAGCAAACAGGCAAATAGACAAACAACATTGGATTGTTAAAGAGAATTAAGACGCTTAGTGGTTTCTATTCACTTCTGCTTTCTCTGCCCCCCTGTTTGGTGTGAAGGAGTTAATTGCTGTGAGATAGAATCTATAGACTGGTTTGCATTCATGGAGATTCTGTAACTATTCCAAAGATGGGAAGTTCGAGAAAATTGAGATTTTTTCTTGAAATTGGAAGCAGTTACTAATTCATGGTAGGACATGTACATAGTAAAAACTTCATTCTCGGATTCTATGAGAACTTCTGTTGATAATTTTCCAGAAGTTGGTTAGGCAACAATCCTTTTCCATAGAAGTACACTTTTGTTTTGTATAACAAGATTTCTCTCGACTTTTTTTCACATTTGACATTTATTATACATGTGAAGTTTTAATGGTTGATTCTGGAATCACCAATTTGCAATTGTCATATTTGGGACATTGAAGTCGCCAGTTAAGACTAAAGGATCACTTTTTGACATCTGTGGTAGTATCTCATTTTCAGCACTCTTTACAAAAAGGTATTGCTATGCGATATCTCTTGCTCCCTGTCTTTTACAGTCACCATTCAATCTCTCCCTTCCTTCATTTGACTGCTTTCTTGTCTTCCGATATGCATGCACACTCCATTCTATTACTGCAGGTTAGTGATGTATAGTTGGTTCCTTTTCTGGACACACACTATGGTTATTATGGTAACTTTAGCTCGGTTAAGTAATGCTTGGCAGTTTTTGCATTTTAAAAAAAAAAATGTATAGATCTCCTCTTGATTGACAACAAAGTCATTACTTTGTCGTATGAAGCATCTGTGGATCTTAGTTTCAAGCTAGCTTACACTTCATTTGTCATATCTTACAAGTCTCAGAACCAATGCAGGTTGTAAAATGCATGACCTAGTTGGATCTTTTTCTGATAACGCGTCACCTAGTTGGATCTTGACCGACTTAACACACACTTATACTATGTTTGCACTTAGAATGTGGTTTCTAACTCAGTTGGGAAATAGAAACAAATACCATGCTGAAGAATTCTGTGGTCTGTATGCTATTCTGATAGATTTTATTTTCAATAAGTAGTTTAGAATGTGGATTGGAAGCTTAGTTTTCTTTCTGATTTTTGTCTTCCACTCCTTTTGGATCTTCCTTCTTGCTTTCTGGAGGATTTCGATTCTCCTGGTAATTGTCATATGTCATAATCATTACTATCTTAATACATGTGTAAGTGCGTACGTAGTGGCATAAGGGGGAAAGTCTATGTAAAGAAAATCATATAAAGCACTTTAAACTAGTTCATCTCCAATGATATATTAAGTGCGTACGTAGTGGCATAAGGGGGAAAGTCTATGTAAAGAAAATCATATAAAGCACTTTAAACTAGTTCATCTCCAATGATATATTCTTATATGGACTATGTAAACTGCACACAAGGTGGACTCAAGTGGAATATGATTTTCAGCAAGAAGTATATTTAAAGAACCGTGACTTGGCATAAAAGTTAAAGTTATTGTACAAATGCGGTCTTAAATTTCTTGTAAAACAAGATGAGGTATAAAGTTATGATTCTCAGAATGCTTCCTATTAGACTTTAATGGAGCAGTTTTCCTTCTTTTCCATGACTTATTTTTCTATTTTTTGATAACCATGGTGTTGGGCACAAGTACCGGGTAACTGTGCCTATCAAGGATTGGATATAAAAAGTCAATTTTTTTTTAAAATTAAAGATATGGCTGAAAACCTTGGGTGCTTTTTTCCTTTGTCTTTTTGGGTAAACATGGTATAATCTTCTCCTGTTTTTTCTTTCTTTTCGGGCTGTGGCTTGTGCCTTGACAGACATCTGAAGCAGTTCTCAACCAGCACTGTCTGTCCTAGGGGCTGATCATCTACATGAAATTTTCAAAGTAGGGTCTTTAAAACATGTCATGTCTTAGAGGTTAGTCATCTACATGAAATTTTACAAAGTAGGGTCTTAAATACATGTCATGTTGTTGGCTTATATTTTTGACAGGTGATTTGGGATGAGTGCAGTATATGTTGCAAGGTATATATAAATGTTTGTCAAGGTAATCAGATAGCTCGAGTCGTTTACATGTTGTATACTTGTACTTCTTTGGGATTTGAAGTATCTCATAGGTTTTTTCGTGGTGTCTAGTTTCCTTCGAATACTTATATACTTCAACGTTTATGGGTGCATTACCATCTGGAACTTTCTATTGATATTGTTTACCGATCAAGAAGAGAAACCGTGGATATCTGAGTAAGGGTTGGTATTGCAAGTTATAGTTCAATAATAGCGGAAGTGCTGCAGTATTCTAGAAAACTTCGTCTAAAAGGATTTAGAAACCTTCTAGGATGTTTGTGGCAGTTGCAAGTATAAGACCTTTGTTGCCGATGCTTATCTACTCACCTTGCTATCTTCATGAGGATATTCTAGTGTCTTGATTCTTTTGTTTGCTAAATTTAAACATACTGCTCAGCAGATGATTCCCTTGTCCTTGTGCAGAGACTTTATTTTGGTAGATCTATTCTAATTGTTCTGATTGAACCTTTTTCCGTCTTTACCCCGTGCATTGAGTGTTCGATTTCCTGTGCAGACTTGCTATCTGCTGTTCAAAAAGCTGTGGAAGATGAAAAACTGCCGCTTAATGTTGCTGAAGGAATGGAGGATTTGTATCAGAACTATCGGAATGCAGTAAAATACCTTTCTTCGAACTTGTGGATAAATGTACTTGTTTAAGTGTTGGGTCACGGGTGCTTTGTTCGCTTAGATATGTTTGCTCATATGCAAGAGTCTTCTTGCATGAACATACTTTCTGGGTCATAACATGCTTTCTTAGGTTACTAAAGAACAGTATATAATAGATTTAAGATGATTGTTGAGAATACAATTAAATAATAAAAGTGTGCTCTCTCTAACAACTTAGGCTTTTAGGTGAGATGGTTACACACTTCAACAATGATGAATATGTTGTTTCTTCTAATGTATTTGATCATTTGGATTTAGTGGATGGTATTATGTAACTACACTCTGTTGGTATAAAAAAAGAAGTTCACGCTGTACCAATGACAGTAGATAAAACTCTGGAGCTGGAAAAGCTAAAGTGGAGAGAGAAGCCACAATTTGGCATGCCATGACTTTTTTGTAACCAATTATGTGGAAAGACATTATTACGGTGCCAAATATTTTCAGAAAATGACCTGAAGATAATAGGTTAAGCCCTTGTGAAGATTCTAAATGTAGTCTAACACTCAACATGTTCAGTATCATTTCTTCCTAGAGCATGGAAGATATGACCTTGGGATGGCAAAACAATAATAAAGATAAATCTAGAGGAGTTGCTTATATTTGTATGTTTGTCTTTGCCTGATTTTTCCGCAAGTGTCTTTCTTGTTCCTACTTCTCAAGTATATCTTATTTTAAATATCAAAGAATAACTCCCCTCCTCACTCCCTCTTTCCAGCTAAAATGGAGAGAATTTCATTTATTTCATTCTTGGAAAGACTACTACTTTTGGACTTATCATATTTGGTTAAGTAATCCAATCAATCTTTTAGACTTATCATATTATCAATCTGTTTGGATTTACTTTATTCATGATACTCATGCGCTTTTCTTTGAGAGAGAATGAGTTTGTTGAGACCTGGAGTTTGGCCTTTTCTTTTTTGTTTATTTGGAGAACTTGTTGTGGTCATGTGCCCCTCTTGATTTTTCTTGATTGTGGAGTTTGGCATTTTCTTTTTTGTTTATTTGGAGAACTTGTTGTGGTCATGTTCCCCACTTGATTTTTCCTGATTGTTTTTTTATAGGTTTTACAAAGTGGAGTCCCCAAAGCAGATGAGGCCATTTTGTATAACATGGCTCTTGTATTTGATCGTGTTTTTGTGGATGTGAAGGTAGTCTTCTGCCATGTGGATTTTTCAAATTCATGCGAGAAGTTTCCCCTATATCTTTGTTTCTCTTTACTTCATCTAAGCACACATGTATTCTATCAAGTTGTTAGAATGTAACATTGTAAAATGTAGCAATGCTCATATTTCAGGATCCTTTTGAATTCTCGCCGTATCATAAGGCCATTCGTGAACCTTTTGACTATTACAAGTTTGGTCAAAATTATATCCGCCAGCTAGTTGATTTCAGGTGAGTCTCAGTTCTCTCTCTGTAGTGTTAAGTATCATGTAATAGTTTGACTAACTTAAAAAATGAGTGTGGTTCTTTCAATCTGGTTAATGATGGAATTCACAGGAATTATTCGAGTAAACAGCTTAAATATATCCTTTGATTTACATCCTTTTTTCATTGTAATATTTGCTTGTTTAGATCAACAAATTCAAGACCAGGCATGCTCTATATGTCCACTTTATACCTTGTAAATAATGGAATGATGCCTATATAGATTTAGGTACAGATAAGCTGGTGCTAGTTCTAGTACATACAAGGTGGTGGGTGAATATATGAGAGAATAACATGTTGGAAGATTGGGTTAAGAGCAGATAGTAAAGCTACTGAAATCATTTATATCTCTAAAGGAGAAAGGGATTATGTCATGTTAGAATAATTGTTCTAAACTTTAATGGCCAGCAGATAATCATTTTGACCATTGATGAAAGGGATAACTAAATCTTTTGCCATTATGTATGGGGAATAAATAATTTTGTTATTACCCTAATTATTTTTTCATTGTAGTTTAGGTATAATGATGCTATTTTCTCAATTGGTTGGGAAAATCCTCCAACTTCTTTAGCTGAAAGAAAGAGCTAAGCTGTTGCACTATTCTGATGAATAGTTCATCATGCTCTAGTGTCTGTATATTATTTTTACCCAGTGATGATCTTACTAATATGCCTCATAGCAATCCTTAAGTCCAAAAAGGATGACATGATTCAAAATACTGGGTGTCTAACAATCTAACTATCCATTCAATCAGACCTTATTCCATTGATTTTCTGATCATAATATGGATATTTGAAAACGACATAAAAAGTATCCTTGTTCTTTTAAAGATAAGTATGTAATAAACCTCCTGAAAAGAGGAATAATTAGCAAAATACTTACAAATTGAAGTCCCGTAGTTATTGTATGAACAACTTAATCACCACACAATGTAGCTGGTATTTAAGTTGATTTCTATTTGACTGTTTAATAGCTAGTTAGTCTGTAGCACTTTGCTGAGTTGTGTGGGTTGAGTTACTTATGAAGCTTAGCCCATCGTGTAAAATTACTATTGTGTAGGGATATATTTTTCTCCCTCTGTTTCAATTTATATGTCTTAGTGTGGCTGGACACGTTGTTCAAGGTAGGGAGATTTTTTAATCTTGTGATCTTAACCTAAAGATATAGGTAATGTATCAAAATGATCTTGATTCTTGTGTTCTTAAACATGCTATGCATGATGTTGGAATTAAAGAGTTAAGCATACCAAAAAGGAAAGTAAGACGCATATTTTAAAACAAAGGGTGAAGTTGCACATTGTTGAGTAGTGGGTAGGAAATTCAAAATTTGTAATTCTTTCAGATGAAGTATGATGTTAGAGGGTCGTTTGTCTTGTTCGAGGAACTCCCTGCTTTACTTCTTCCAGGGGTGCTTGCGAACAATATCTCCATTATGGACAGACATACCGCTGCTATTGAATTTTTTTTAATCAGCTTTAGTGAGTGCATATCAAATGTGGTTATTAGAAATTGATCTTTCTTTGGCTCTTTGGTTAGAAGTGAACAGCCTTGTTCCCTGCAGATCTCATGATTTACTTCGGAATCTAACCTCTAGTATTTTCGAGTTCGTAGGAGTTCTTATGTTGGGAATATCTCAGTTTTCGGTGAAATGGCAGAGAAGCTTAAACAGGTTCGGCATTTCAGATTGTTAAAGAGTGTTTCTATTTATTAGTTTCTTCTGTAATTATGCTAACTATTTATCGCCTGACCAAGTTTAGTTATCCCCTGATCAAGTTTAGCACATAGTGATAGAGTTCTAATTCAGACTACTTATGATATGAATATGTATCATCATTCCTCAACTGTATGAGTCACAACATGATTATTTTTTTAAATTGTTCGGTTGAGTATTATCTAAATAATAACATTTGCATTAATTAGTAATAACAAATGAAATTTATAATGCCATAAAAAGACCCAAAAAGATAAATTGATTCAAAAGTATCTGATCTAACAAACAAACTAAACAATGAAAAAACGGTATTCCTTTAGTGTAACAAAATAAGATATATATGATCTCATAGAATGTACAAAATATTTAAAAGCTTCACAATATTAAGATGAGAATAAGAATCAGAAGTGAATTTTAAAAAAAAATTCTCTCCAACTATCAAGAAAAGGGATCAGTACCTTTATTGCAAATTAGTTGCAGCCATGTAGTGACTTGTAGTGTATAGGTTTAGTTATAGAATTTCACAAAAAGAAATTGAAAAGTTCAACTGTTGGAAGCTAAACTGTTGCAACTTCTTTCCTAATAACTTTTCTTTTATCAATTATTTAACATTTAATAGAATTTCATTAAATTACACATCAATTGTTGATCTTTAAATTACCTATAATTAATATTTAATTAACTAAATATAATTTAGTTTTATAGTTTATAAAGGTACAATTTTTTTTAATGGTAATATTGACATAACTCAATTTTATAGGGTTGTTTTGGTATTTCAACTTTTTGTTCCCACTTTTAGTAATACTAGATTCACCACACGTGCGTTGCACATGGTTACCTTGTTTTGTGAATGCCATAACTATGTAAATATATTCAGACTATATTAGTTACCATCTATGTTTTCTTTGTAGATGACTTTTCGGTGAGTTGTATCCGTTATTAGCGGGTCTCCATTTTAAGATTCCAGAATAATAACGCATTACGCTCGACTAATTTGCTTCTTCACGATGTTTTTTTGTTTAGTATATATATATATATATATATATATTTGATATGAATAATAAGGGGATAGCCATTCCATGGTTAGCTGTTTAAACCGTTTGAATTGAAACTTTATTCTCGGCATGCATGAGATCTCATTGGACAACTGTCATGAAATAATACACCAAGCATAAAACACTCCTCTTGTTCTTGTACTGGTTGGGGATCATGGTAAATCAAATGAAAAAGGTTTTGCTAATTGATGTTTGTATCTGCTTAATGTGGGTCCACTTGTGTTAATATGGGTTGATTGGAGAGAGAATAGGAGACTTTTTGAAGGAGTAGTAGTCTCTGTTTCCTTATTTTCTTTTGGTGCACACAAAAAGTTCCTTATCATATAGATGATCAGGTGGAGTTTGTAGAGAATTGTATGTTTTGTAGATTCTCACCTTTTGGTATACCCTTTGTATGCCACTGTTCATGGCCATGCATATGAATGAAAATACTTTTACTTGATAAAATTTTAAAAAAAGATCTTCTTAACAAGCTATTGTATAGGAGCGGGGGTTTTAATCAAGCAATGTTGAAAGATTTTTCTAGAGCACATTCTGAGAATTTGAGCTTAACATGACCTTGCTTTTCAGACCCCCTTACACGAAGATCCATATTTTCTTCTTATTCGCCTTACTGGATGAACCAGATCACTTTTCCCAATTTCCACGCTATTCAGCAGTTTCCTTGATTAGGGGGACGAATGTACATAAGACTTTGTATCCCTCAGCTTTAATACGTTATACGATTGAACCTCCAAAAGATGGTAGAAACTCCGAAGTAGGAATATTGACATATTTCATAATTCCAAACTTCTGTTATCTTTTGTTTGGTGGTTTGTCTGTCTTCTTATTGAAAATATTTAGGTATCTTTCTCGTTCTATGCGTTTTGTGAAGGAAAGTTACTTACCAGTTATAGATGTATGTGGCTTCTTATCCATCAAAATTATATGCTCACTATTTAAACAAGAGTTACGAATAACAGTCTTGGCTCAAAATGTCGTGGGTGGACCAACTATCTCTATATCACCTGCACGGCCACTGGTTTACGTGTAAAGGATCTTCTTATAAAGTTGAATGTTCTTCTTCGATGCTGTATAACACTAACTATAGATGGAGAACTGTTGAGTGCTTACTGTACCCAGTTCTTTGTTGCATGGTTTTTTACACATCGTCTTGATCATTTTTCCTGTTGCCTTTACCAAATCACCATTTCTTTGTACTAATTTCAGGGTGATAATGTTGTCTTGATGTCAAACCATCAAAGTGAAGCCGATCCTGCGATTATTGCACTCTTGATTGAATCAAAGCTCCCAGATATTGCTGAGAACATTGTTATTACTTTTTCCACCCTCTTGTACTTTATAAGATATTTATACCTGAAGTAGCTTAATTCACTAGATTATGCTTACTGGTAACAGATCTATGTTGCTGGAGATAGAGTTATTACTGATCCTCTTTGCAAGCCATTCAGCATGGGAAGGTGCACTTAGATAGCATTGTCAGAGTATTACAGAAATCATCATTTACTTTTAGACATTTGACCAACTTAATATGTTTAGGAATCTCCTGTGTGTTTATTCGAAAAAACATATGAATGATGACCCCGAACTTGCTGAGATGAAAAAGAGAGCAAACACAAGAAGCTTGAAGGAGATGGCTTTGCTATTGAGGTACTTATGCTGCTTTTGCTTTGTCTTTCTTGGAGTATTTTGGTGAAGCTTTTACTTAGGAAGTTTTAATGTCAGGCAGTCTTGGGGTCTTATTCTGGAGGCATTAGTATACAATTTTATCCTGTGCCAATCTCTCATTAACATTTTTTCTGCCAAGTGTTGCGAAAAAATGGAAGATTCGCTCTTCTAAGCTCTACACGTATTGAACATGATTAAATGGCAAGCTAAGCCTAATGTTGCATGTGTACTCTTAATCTTCTCTACCTATCAGAAAAGCTTGTTTGCTCAGGTGTGTAATAGTTCTTTCACGAGGGGGTTAACCCTGCTTGATTATTCTGCATGGAGGAAAATCATAGAGCTAGTTGCGGTAGAAATGACTTCTAATATGAATGTGCAGAAGATAATACAGATACGATAGATGGAAGTTTTCTCATGATCATGGATGTGAAGTTCAATCATCATCCACTATATGATTGCTTTATCAGATTCATACTTCAAGTCTAGTGAACTGTTGGTATAATTAGCACAATAATAAAAGAGGACATCCAATGATACATGTTTCTTTGGCAATTCGAGATAGCTCACAGATGCTCTTTTTGATATTCCACTATTGCTCTTTTGATGGAAGCATACATGTACTTGTGATCCAGGGGTGGATCAAAATTAATATGGATTGCTCCTAGTGGTGGAAGAGATAGGCCAGACCCTGTTACAAACGAATGGTATCCAGTAAGATTCGTTTTTCTATTTAATAATTATAGTTGTCTTTCCGTATATTTATCTTTTCATTCTATTTGATGGACGCACTTGCAAGCATGGCAAACATCCATTTCCTTGACAAGGTATTTTCTCCGTTTCATTCATATGACTGTGTTTGTACAGAGGAGGGGGTTTAATATATTAATTTGACTCTGTATTTTATTAGTGGTAGTATAGGAAAAAAATTAAATAGTGCTTCAAAAGTTAGTTTGATGAAGAACACTGAAACAAATTTGAATTCTTGAAAGTTGTATAAAATAATAATCTAAGTGGAGTGGTGAAAACATTTTGGGAAGTCCCATAGTTGAAAAACTATCATAATTTGAAGGAGGAAGTGTTGCTACCTTATTCATTCTTTTAAGTGATTCTTAATTCCTTTGTGGGCTGATTTGCTTTCCCTGCCTATGAAATATAGGGCAAGGCTCCCACATCTTCTGAATTACATCTGATGCCAGTTCACATCTTAAGATTTTCTTCCACTGACTTTATTGTCTGCTGTTCTTGATTGCTTCTTGCTAGGTGAACTTCATTAGGGGGGGGGGGATAAGTTATAGTTGTCTGACTAAAAAATTTTGTGTTCCTGACCAATAGCCATTTCCTAAGTGAGGTTGTTCATGACTCTTTAAGAGAATAGTCATCTGCAGATGTGTGCTGGGACATTTATGATTCAGTTCTCAGAATATGTTGGCATTATTTGCCTGAACTTTTAAGGGAGAGTTAACTGTTCGTATCCTATTGAGATTTGCATGGGTACATGCTATGGTTCACTGCTTCTTCCTATTCTGTTTGTTCAGCAATAAACTTCTCCATTACACTTGCCTTGTGACAGTTCTAGGGTATTTTGATAGGCCGTGATAATATCTCTTCTTCTCCAGCATAGTTCTATGTATATGATGGGCAGTTAGTTTCAAAAGTTTTGGTATTTATGCTTCATCATAATGCTTAGTTAAGAGACATTTTTTTTAAAATTTGAATTTATTTTTCCAAAAGAGCCAGATCCATATTGGTAAATACCAGTTAGTTAGGACTAAGCTAATTATTTTTCAAGGAACAGGTGTTTGGTTTAGAGAACCCATAATTTGCCTTTAAAAGGCCAAGTATTATGCATTGGAATGAAATGGGCCTGAATGGATATAGAGGAATCATATAACAGATTCCAACTGATCTGCCACTGATGGATAGTTAATTAATTGATTTTGAGCAGCTTGTGGTTGACCATTTTGCTTGTCTTTCTTCAGGCACCATTTGATGCTTCCGCGACAGACAACATGAGGAGGCTTGTACAACATGCTGGTGTCCCTGGTCACATTTATCCTCTAGCAATATTGTGCCATGATATTATGCCCCCTCCCGCCCAGGTTGGTCACTGTGTCAATTATGTTTGTTTTTGTAATGATTTTATGTTTTTTTTTACATATCCCTGCTTGCGAGAGTACAGGTTGAGAAAAATATCGGAGAGAAAAGAGTTGTATCTTTTCATGGAGCTGGCATATCTGTGGCACCCAAAATTGATTTTCATGAGGTTGCTGGTGCTTTGGAGGACCCTGAGGTTAGTTTTTACGGGAAGTCCACTTTGGTTTAATACTTAAATTATTGGAAGCTTTTTTTGAACTAAATTTGACAGCCTAATGAAAGGTTTAGTGGTATTTGTTGGTGAACCTGGGGGGATTCATTCTATTTAATAGAGAATGAAGGAGGAGAAGGAAAGTTGGACCAAACTCTTTCGCTTTCCTATTTGAGACCCAAATGAATAGCTAGTTGACCTTTGCTAAGAGGGGGGCAGGTTTAGCAGAAATTTTGATTCCTTCGGTTGATCTTTCTCTTGTTGGTGGAAAGTTAAGAAGTAAAGCTCCAAAGGAACTTTCAATATGCAAATAAAACATTCATCTAATACTGTTTTGTTTTATTCAATTTTTGTCAAGTTAATTCTATAAACTGAAGCTAAAATCTGCATCTATAAGCTCTCTGAGGATAGTTAAATCTGTCCCCAAATCAGAGGAAAAGAAAATTAATTAAAGATGGAAATTTTGTGATACTTTTTTTCCTTACAAATAAAATAAGATAGAGAACCTTCCAATGTGCCAAAAAAGAAAATATTATTTCCATGAAATTCAAATGAATGATGAACTAGCCCAGAGTGTTGAATTATATTGGAAGTTGGTTGATGCGACTTTTAGTAACACTAATTGCTACTCCCTCCGTTTAAAAAAGAATGGTCTAGTTTGACTTGGCACAGAGTTTAAGAAAATAAAGAAGACTTTTGAATCTTGTGGTCCTAAATTAAAGTTATGTCAAATGTACAAAATTGCCCTTTAATCTTGTGGCCTTAAACAAGCCACGTGGAAAGTTGAAATTAAAATGTTACCAAAAAGAGAAAGGTCATTCTTTTTGAAACTGACTAAAAAGGAAAGGAGATCATTCTTTTTTTAAACGGAGGGAGTAATATAAAGCTACCTCCACAGGTGTAAACTGACTTGTTTGGGTGTCATCTGTGTTTTCTCCTTATATTTTAAGCTACCTAAGCTGCTGTACTCGACAGTTGTACTACTAATTTTTCTACCTCCAACTTCTGTAGCATCAGTTTTCTGTTGCAAAATTCTTCTCTTCCCAGACCCTTTCTGACCTTCAGCTCAAACATTTTTCCTTTGCCTCTCTTTCTATCATTACATTACGTAAAAAAGATGGTTCAACTAATTTCCCTGCCCTTCAGACCTTAAGCTCTAACATTTTCCACTTGCCTCAGCTTTCTATTGTTCACTAAATGAAATGGTTTTCACCAATTCAGTCTTCTTCCATTTCACTGCAAGAATTCTCTTTAATATTCTATTTCCATGGGGTTTTCAATCTTAAATCGATGTTCCATTTCACAGCCAAAGATTTGCATCTTATTTTTATGAGATGCTATTGGAACTCTTGTTTTTTCTTTCTCCCCATCCCCTCCCTCCTGCAGAGGCGTATCTAGAAGGGGTGCCGTGGGTTCACGTGAACCCATGCTCCCCTCTCTAGATCATATATAGTAGTGTTATATATTTTTTAAAATATTTAAATATAGATGTGTGAACTCATGTTCAAAGTATCATATAATAATGCGATAATGATTGGGTGCACTTCTCTAAGTGAGAGATAAAAATTTAAATCTTATATCTATCTTGTCTCTTTGAGTAACACTTTTCCAAGTGGTTATCAATTACACTTTTGTCGTTTCAACTAATTTTTGTTTTTTTTTTCCTTTATTCTTTCAAAATTTTCAAGTGTGTTACATTGAGAATTCCTAAAAAATTTAGCGTTGTAAATTTTTTATATAATTAAATCAAATGTGTATATTAAAATTTAAAACTAGTAGTATTATATATTTTGGACCTATAATTTTTAAACTTTAATGGTTCATATTACAAACTAAAAGTCAAATCGATCAAATTTATATTTAAGATACATTTTTTCGTAATCGTGCACCCATCTAGCCGAAATTCTGGATACGCCTCTGCCCTCCTCCCAAATAGATGGGAAATGCATCGTGGCTGGTTTGATCAAGGAAAGGAAATGAGAGATGAATCGAAAGCTAAAAAACTGCACACCGAAAAAGTCAATTGCATATAAATAAAAAGGATCTTATGAGTAAATACTTTTCTTGATGCAGGCTAAGATGGTATATACAAAGTCACTTTATGACTCTGTAAGCCAGCAGTACAATGTGCTAAATTCTGCTATACATGGCAAACAAGGACTGAAGGCATCAATACCTAGTGTTTCATTATCACAACCATGGCAGTAGCTTCTCTTCCAACTTTATTTTTCATATCTTGTTGCTGTAGTCAGGTATGTACTTCACCCAAAAAAGATCTGTTGATAAAATTTAAAACTGGAACAATTGGCTTCATTCCATGTGTGTCTGATTCTTGTTTTGTGGGTATATATTACTAGTTTTGCAGATGTTTGTTTGGCAGTTACAATCAAATCACAAGGATTACACTCACAATCTTTCCACATACCACGCTGGCATGTGGTTAGTCTATGCCGAAAGTTGATACAAAGAAAGTAATTCTCGAAGTTACAGCAACATAACCCGAAGGAATTTTTTGGCAGGGCTTAGATAATTCTTTTGACACGAATGTACAGTTGCTTTACATTGTATTTATACCAAATGCTAGATCTAAATTTGTTAGTAATGATAGCTTTCAAGTACTGTCAATTCTGACTTTTTAAGGTCAAGTGTTAGTAGCTATCCTAGATTGCTGCTCATCTTGCCTTTGAAGTGGTAATCCAATTTGTTGGGAAATATAATAAATGATGCTCTGCTACAGTTGTGTGTGTGTTGTAGTTTCTATAAGCGTGATATGCTGTTTGGTGCAACATTTGACAGTGTATTGTGTCAAAAGCAGTCGGGTTTAGTTTCTACGGTAGTGACTATTAACCTATCTCCTTCAATTGGCCGCGTAGTGTGGTTTAATGTTTGGTCTTTTGATCGATCTAAGCAACACAAATTCCAATAATCCAATGGGATTCCTAATGAAAGCAGAGCTTGAAAGGATTTCCACTACAACATGCATATTCCAGCGGGTTCTCCTGGCTCATTGTGTTCTCTCCTTTTAATTTATGTTCTTCGTGATCTTTCTCCACTTGTGCTTCCAGTAAATAGTTTGTCTTAGCCCCTTCACATCCCTGTTGGCATTCCTCTTATTTGCTATAGCAGTGGACATGTTTCTTTGATAACTACCTTTTTGGGTGTCAGTTTCAACCGAAGAAATTGTTTTGGTGGGGACGTGAGGCATTACGTATCTAAGCGTGTCTTGTTTCAACAGTGTCATTCTTTATGCACTATGATGAAGGCACAGCACAGACGATGCTCTAGTATTGAACTTAATTTTTTGGTCAAAATTTCTTAATGAGGCAGACAGGCATATTGATCGATGTATTTTAAGAGCTTAGCGTGCATAGTCTCAACTTAAGATGCATTTTTTTCCAGTCTAGAGTAGTCTGTTTATTAAACAACTTGAAGGACTCTGCCCATTTACCAGCTTAGAGGAATCATACTATAGTTTTAATGACCATAGAATATTTTACACTACTATTTTCTCTCTTTTATTTTTTATTTTCATCCGATTCATAGTATTTTACACTACTATGTTCTAAAATAAATGATACTTTGCACTTTTATTTTGTTTCAAAATAAGAGGTGTTTTAGAATTTCAACAAATAATTGATCTTATTTTTCCTGAATTATCCTTGTTTTAATACATTTAAGTTTACACCACTAAAGAATTATTCTTTTTTAATACATTTAATTAGGGATAACCTAATAGAAATATTGCTTATTTTTTAAAAATAAATAAAATTTTAAGGATATGTAAAAACTAAATATATCACTTGTTTTAAAACTAAATAAGTACTCCCTCTCTAATAATAGTTGTCTACTATTGACTTAATACACTTTTTAAGAAACTATAAATAAAATAGTAATTTTACTGTATCACTCTTTGAATATAATAAATACAATGTCTTGAATAATGTAATAGGGAAATGACTATAATTAATGATAAGGATAAATTAAGAACTAAATGTAAAATTATCCATAAAATTTCATAAAATGGACAAATATTATTGGACATCTATTTTTAATAAAGTGCACACGTATTGTTGGACTGATGGAGTACAATTTAATGCTCACTTTCCAAAACCATATGTCAAAATACCAATTTCTAGCAACAATCCAAAACTCAAATTATCAAAAAATAAAAATAAAATCAGCATGACATGTGTCCCTCCTGACAACAAAAATTACACAAATTTTGTGAAGCAGAATTTAATTCAAAACAAAGTAAAACGTGCCAAATCCATCTCCACCATCTATATAGCCGACGGTCTCAAATCACCGTCGACAACCACCGCTTCCGCCGCCATTTCCACGGTTTCGCCGCCGCAGGACGTCCATTTCCAAAAGCAATTAAATATGTCCACCCTCTACAATCCTCTAATTTTCACCATTAAAAACCCAAAAATCACCCATAAACCTCACACTTCTCTTCCTTCTTCAGTTCCGACTTCTAGGCTTCGAAAATTTCCCAATTTCTCAGTTCAATCCTCCATTTCCTCATCCAATGACCCGGAAAAACCGACCTTTATTACACCGGACAATGATAAAGCTGACGATAAAACGGTGGAGTTCGTGGATGAATGGGGAGAGAAGTCGGAGCCGGAACCCGGACCGGTTACGAAGTTAGCGGATTCGGATCCTCTGAAGTATGAGGATGAGTGGGGTAATGGAAGTCCCGGAGTTGACGGGAGTGTTGGAGAGGACGAGAAGCTTCTAGAGCTGAAAAGGTGCCTGGTGGATACAGTTTATGGGACGGATTTCGGATTTCGGGCTTCATCGGAGATTCGGGCCGAGGCATTGGAGTTCGTTTCTCAGTTGGAGGCAGCCAATCCTACTCCAGCACCAACTGAGTCTCCTGAGTTGCTTGATGGGAACTGGATTTTAGTGTGAGTTTTTGCTTCATTGCTTGATTATTCAGTTACTTCTTTTACTTTAGTTCCTCCATTTATTACGTATTTTGTTGTTTTAATATGAAATTAGCTGAGTTTTGATATTTTCCGTAAGCATGCTGGCTTTGGTTCATCGAAAAATGGGTGGTTTACAGGACAACCCAAATAACAATTTCTAATAAATTGATATTGATCTCATGGGGCTTATATTTAAGGGTAATTGATAGTTTCAGATAGTCAAATTGACTTTGATTTCATTCTCAATGGGATAAGGCATTGATGGAATGGGTAGTGGTATGCTTATCTTGAGCATTGACACCACAGAGCAAGTTGCTCTCCCCCAATTCTAGGTGCATGATAGATGTTAACCGTACAATGTAGGCATTGCACCCAAAGCAGTAGCTAGAACTTTATGGTGGGAGTTCACTATGCAAGATAGGTGCATCATAACAGTTTTAAGAGGGAGCCCGAGATTGACCTCTAAATAAGCACCTTATGAGGTGAGCCGTTAGCCGGTTACTTGTCAATATGCTTGCATTCGGCTGTATCCTCCAGTTGTTACCAACCATGGTTAAAGACCATATATTCTTTTGTTCGTCCTGTAGTAACATGCTTTGGATTTCTGAGAATTCCATAACTAATTAGCCTGGTAATCTGGGAATAGGATGAGCCAATGCTTCTTATATTATTTTAATCTTGATGCGATGTCTTTTCAACTAAGTATTGCACTTTCTTCACATTGCAAACTACCATTAATCTAAACAATGTCTGCAAACTCTAATGTGAAATATATTTTACTTTTCTTCTTACCCTTTTGGCTAGTCAAACTAGAATCTATTCAAGAGCGCAACAAGTATTCGTCGAAAAATTGTAGTAGTAACTGGAGCTTGAGTTCATGATTCATATTCATTCTATGGTTTTCCCATTGGGATTTAAAGCCTCCTGGTTGCTGCTTCTATCTTGGGAGGAAAGTTTCACTTAGCTTTGCTCCTGTTAGAGAGTTCACTTCAACAACTAATGATCATGTTATCACTTTATCTGTCATTAAGATGTTCTTTGGTTAGCATTCACTCCCTTGTAAAGTTGAATATGTTTCATTTTCTACTCATATCCATTTCTGGTCTTATACCATAACAAACAAGTTAGGTTCAAACTTGCAACATGTTGTACTGAGTTATTAACCCCGCATAAAGCATAGAACCTAACCAATTAGAGCATTGGTTGCATAATATCACCTTTGATTTATCATGTTGTTACTTAATAGATTGACATGCCTGCATTTTTCGGAGCTTTCTTTTCGAAGCAAGTTCTGAAAGGAACCAGCAGTCTGCCCCTGCATAATCTCCATCCTGCCAAAGAAAAATATTGAACTTTGCCATCTATAGTTCCCAAATTTCTTCTCATTTTAATCAACTTCATTGAACTATAGGGAAGGGTTTTAACTATCTTCCTGTGAAAAGGGGGATTATCTTAACGTATAGTTGTTTGTTTTCATTGTTATCGTAACTCTTATGTAATGATTGTTGTTGTTATTATTATTATTATTTCCCTGGTTTTACTGGGAAAGTCGAGTTTTACTAAGTACTGGAATTTTAAATGCTTGGAAGTGGTGATAGACTGTTTTTAATAGTTTTGAAGTACAATTTTATAGGATTAGATCTGAACTTAAGATCGTTGACATTTACTATCTTGGTTCACATATCACAGAAGAAAACCTAAATGCTGAAGATATGCCTTTTAAAGCTATATTTATAGTTGATGTCCTGTTAAGGGTTTATTCGTCTATAATATAGAGTAGGAAAATGGCATTGAGGCATAAACGTTGATGATACTTTGTTGTGTGCTATGTATTATTAAAAGTTTATTTCTTCATAAGTTTCTTTTTAAAGATTTTTGGTTGAACACATCAACAACACCTTAAACCTTGCCAGTAAATTTCATTTGGACGCTCGAAGTATGGTGTGTTTCAATTGGGCACCTGAATACATGATTAAGTATTCCTGTTAGACTCTTCCGATTCAAAATTTTGAAGAAAGCTTTTGCGAGTGTTCTCAAGCTTCTATTACATACATAAGTCAACTACCTAAAATATGTCATCTCCTTTACTTAGACACAGTAGTCTCAATAAGCCATCAGGCCTAATCGATATCGATGTATATGATTAAAGGGATAATTTTGCAACTTAGCCCAAACTTAAGGGACAATTTTGGGCTTTTCCTCCTGAACAATGCAACCTTTTGTTGTGAAATTTCATGCAGAAACTGATTTGAAGTAAATGATAAGTGATGTATTTGCAGCAAGTAATCTTATTTTTCTTCCTCAATCTGTCAGGTTCACTGCATTTTCTGAGTTGTTACCTCTTCTTGCTGTGGGCAACATTCCTCTGTTGAAGGTAGAAAAGATTTGCCAAGACGTAAATACAAACAGCTTGACTATAGAGAATGCGACTACATTATCAAGCCCTGTAGCCACCTTGTCCTTTAGTGCTACTGCCACTTTTGAAGTTCGAAGCCCATCTAGAATACAGGTACCCTTGTTGACTCCATTCTAATTTCCTTAGAAAGGTACTTGCAGCAATATTCTGAACAAAGAGAAAAAAAATGAGTTAGTGGTTCAGCCAAATGTTAGTTTGGAATTCAGAAACTAATTATGCAAGATATTGGGAAATTGTAGATGGGGATTATAGTTTTCTTGGTTAACTTCTGTAGAGTATGTTGGGAGATTCTTACATTTTCCTTCTGCATTTGGCTGACAACTGCTTACTTTTGTAGGTTGAATTTAAGGAAGGGAATTTTAAGCCTCCTGAAATAAAATCAAACATAGATCTG